AAACAAAATCTTATAGCTAACATTTACGAAACGAACATAAGCTTCCAGATCTTCTAAATCACAGCAATAGATGCTGGATAGGTAGATAGATATTTATATCTTATACTATAATATAAAGCGGAAGAGTTAGTTTTTTTGTTTGTTTGTTTGAACGCGCTAATCTCCGTAACTACAAGTCTGATTTGAATAATTATTTTTGTGTTGGGTAGTGCATTTATCGAGGATGGCTATAGGCTATAAAACATCACGCTACGACCAATAGGAGCTGAACAGAGCGTGTGTAACCGCGCGGAAGCAGCTAGTCTATATATATAAAAATGAAACCCGTTTCCCGTTGTCACGCCATAACTTGAGAACGGCTAGACCGATTTTTAATTTTTTTTTGTTGTGGTTGCTATTGTCAGGGGAAAGTTCTTATGACAGAAAAACATCCTGAATATCCTATGGGAACGGGAGAAAAACGGGATTACACGTACGAAGTCGCGGGCAGAAGCTAGTTGGGAATAAACTCTGAGTTTATTGCTATTTCAAACGAAACAGTAACGCATCTAAAATGGCAGCTTTAATAGCAGAGCATTGACGTCTTTTCGCCTCGCCTATGTTTATAATTTACAAATATATAAAACACAAGCTACTTCAGCGCGGTTACACACGCTCTGCTCAGCTCCTATTAGTCGTAGCGTGATGTTTTATAGCCTATAGCCATCCTCGATAAATGCACTATCCAACACAAAAAGAATTATTCAAATCAGACTTGTAGTTACGGAGATTAGCGAGTTCAAAGAAACAAACAAACAAACAAACAAAAAAAAACAAACTCTTCCGCATTATACAATAGTATAAGATATTGATAGTGCAGGAACTTGTACTTCCTTAGAACAATCGCATTTTTGGTCTAATTGTGTAAAGACATGTAAACTAATTATAATTACTAAAAAGTCTACAAGGGCATTGTTTAGACAAGTACCTAGAAATACAAAAGAAATAGTTTCGTATGTGCATAGGTAACTGAAGAGAGATGCAATAAAGCCGATTAAAATATTTTAATCTTAAACAGCTACCATTACTAGTAGTGGAAACCATAGTTTTTTCTTTTCCTCTTATAATACCTTCTGATTCACTTCGTTGCGGGAACCAATACAGTTATTCATGTCCCTGGGACGCGCCGGACTTCAGTGTTTCGGTGTTTTCATGGTTGTATCTAATGTAGATCCTGGCTTAAGTTGCAGCGGTTTTGGGAGGTTGTGGCGAGCTTGTCCCATTAACTACCATTACTGTGTATATGGATAATCATCGATAATTACTTGGACAGTCAAATTCCTCAGCAATTTTCCCTTTAACTATTCATTATGTTAAATGATAATGATATAGAGGTACAATATCCATTACGTTAAATGCACAAACAACACGACAATTATTAATGCCTGTTTAATCCATATTTTTGTAAGTCTTTCTCTTCGTTTTTATCAAACCTAAAATATACTCTCATCTATAGAATTGAAGATGAACATAACATCACGCCTTTTATTCCCGATGGGGTAGGCAGAGGTGCACATTATGCTACTGTACAATGTGACATCCACTTTTTACTATTTATGAGTACCATGTAATAGGGGGTGAGCCTATTGCCATATACTTACCGGGCACAATTCCAGACTCCGAGCTACTACTGAGATTTTTTAAAAACCCAGTACCTAACACTTTGCCCGACCCGGGACTCGAACCCGAGACCCCTTGTCCGGCACTTGCAACCACTTGGCCAACGAGGCAGGCAATAATTGAAGATGAATTTTTTATAATCCTATCTATCTATAATTCTATCTATCTACCTACCGCACAATAACTTCCTCAGTCATCATTAATACTGGTAAAATATAGTTTAGTATATAAAACCAAGGTTCATGAATGTAGAAAGCGCTGCAGGCAACACATGTAACATACGACTATTTCTGTCCGCAGCGTGCTCCGGCGCATGCCTGAAATAACTCGGTTTCATCATAACATACAATCGACTTGCCTACAGCTTTTTATTTTCATACTATACGAGTGTGGATCGGAATGAAGAGAACAGGATAATGTTAACAATGAGGCGATTGATTTTGTAACTGGGAGGTGATTTTGTAGTTAAATACCTAACCTACAGAGACTAGGGTATACCGTACAGTTTTTTTCGGCAGAATTAAACTGTTGCTACCTATAAAAAGCTGACCTCATAGATCAGACACCATCACACTCACACATGCGAACACTAATCCTAGTCTGATCCGTTAATATAGGAACCAACGTCAAGAAAACATATCTTGTAGTATCTAGCTAGTATCTAATAATTCACTCTGCACATTCCGGAAACAATCCAAAAAGGCAAACACAACATCTAAGATAATCATAAATTATTCATATTCCAGACCTTGCCATGATACGTACTGATAAACTGCTATAAAAGTGCAGTGGACAATGCATAATGTTGCAAGTAACAATTTAATGGGCTGGCCGCGCCGGCGCCGACCTCCGACCGGCGACCACTGCGCACACGACGGCAACTTTTCTACCATTTAAGGCACTCGCAGACCCTGATAACGTTTTCACAAGTACGAAGTGTTAACGCCTGTCTGTTTGCGTTTAAATCACAATTAAAACTTTCAACTCTTATTCGACGTTTTCTTTTGGATGAAATCGAATTGAGTTAATGCCTATATTTCTATTTAATCCATTTTTAATCATACGATACTTATCTACCCAATGTAACAGATTTTTAACTAATAATTCTTAGCCAGTTTTCTAACCATACAATCTATGACAGAAAATCAATATAACTTAAGGATAATGCCCACATACATTATTACGAAAATAAACTTTAGTAAAAACAACTTGGATGATGTGTGTGTGTGCGAATTGTATAGATTACAAATAAGAAGGAATCTTTCCTCGTCTAGGTATCTAGTTATCAACTACAGACTACAGTACAGCTCAATACACACAGCTTCATACGGACCACGGAATTTTCCAATTTATGACATGTCGCGTACAAGGCGCCTATTTAAACTGTCAAACACCAAGCGGTCACCGGTGACCGCAACCTATTGTTCTTTAATTGTGTCTATAATGACGGTACTCAACGAGTTAATTAACATTTCTTGTCATTCCCACTTACATAATTAACCTACGTGTAATCATAAGACGTATCCTGTTTACTCAAGCATATTGTTACCATCTTGCAACACATTATACACTGCAGCCATATGTTCTAAAGCCTTGTAATGCTTTATATAGTTAATTTAGTATTATTGTACCTACTGCAATGGACAACTAGGCAATACACATGTGGCGCGTCGACTTGCCAATCATTGGACTATTCTATGACTAAGCGATGAAAATATTTTCTTTATGGCTCTAAAGGCCTTCGAGCAATTAATGCTAAGTTGATTTTGCTTACGTTTATCTGATGTAAGTAAGAACAATAACATGCGTGGAATAACATGAAGTAATTTTTAGTTATTACGAGTCTGACAGTCATCTGAATAAGTCGAATAACAAGGACAGGTAAAATATTTCTGGTAAGAGCAAAACTTCGATGTAGACCTCGAAATGTATATTCATTTTTGTTTATGGCATAAGCCGGTAAACAAGCAGACGGATCACCTGATGGTATGCAATCGGCGTCGCCCATGAACACCTGGAACACCAGAGGCGTTACAAGTGCGTTACGCCTTTTGGGGATTAGGAGTTTGAGGATCGTTGGGGATTCAGGAATTGGGGAGATTGGGGAAGGGGAGGGTAATTGGGCCTCCGGTAACCTCAATCACACGACGAAACACAACGCAAGCGTTGCTTCACGTCGGTTTTCTGTTAGGCCGTGGTATCACTCCGGTCGAGCCGGCTCATTCGTGCCGAAGCATGGCTGAAATTCATTCGTTAACTTCTTTGTATCTCTAGCCAGAGTTATACATAAATAGTTTTAAGTGGGGAAGCCATGCTTCGGCACGAATGAGTCGGCTCGACGGCTCGACCGGAGTAAAACCACGGCCTCACAGAAAACGGACGTGAAACAACGCTTGCGCTGTTTCGTCGTGTGAGGGACTCCCCAATTCCCCAATCTCTGAATACCCAACAATCTTCAAATTCCTAATCCTCTAAAAGCCGGTAACGCACTTGTAACGCCTCTGATGTTCCAGGTGTCCATGGGCGAAGCCGATTGCTTACCATCAGGGGATCCGTCTGCACGTTTACCATAACTTATACCATAAAAAAAATTCATCTACGCGATCTGTGATTAGACAAAATCTTGATCTTTATGGAAATATTAAAATTATCTTATGAGAGCATAGTGGCTTACATCTTACAACGATTGCGTTCGATACAACATACTTTAACTTAAATAAGTGCACGGAATGAATATGTAGCCATACCTCAATAATAAAAATATTAAGTACACGTATAACTTTCCTTATGCAATAAGAAATCAGAGTAACGACTTAATAATCCGAGAAATTGTTTTTTTCGCTTTAATTGTTACGATAGCATCGTAACTATAGTGTATGTCAGTGTAATAATAATAAGGGTCGAGCGGCCATGTTCGGCGCGGTGCAAGTTTTTCCCGCGCTGACTCACACGGCTCAGCTACCAGTCTTGTATGGCATTTACAAACTTGTATCAATTAAAACGTAATATTTAAGTGATTATTTATCCACAGTTTATATAATAAATATTATTTTCTTTTTATTAAACTGCTCTCGTTATAAAGGTGAAGTTTCAATATATCGGTTACACATTACAATTTATGTTTTTGCACGCTCACTACACGTTCTTGTTGCCAATTAATTAGTTTGTAATCGTAACCTGGATTCCGAAAACCGTTTTAACAATAAAAAAAAAATAAGAAACGAAAGCCAAACAATTCGTTTCTTTTCATGGATGACATGGGCACGGATGATAAACACAAATGACAAAAACAGTAAGGATCAAGTCATTTATTGAAACAGTCATCTTATAACAACTAAATTCTACTGAATCTTTCTATGATATTCAGGTGTTGCATTGCCGTAGTCTTGAAGATTAAAAAGCGTAGATCTATTAGTTACCATGTACTTGAGGAAATCTTGTATATGTGTCAGAACATGCTGCAAGGATTTTTCGTCCAATGCCGTGTAGGCCAACATTGGTCCCATTTTGGCGAACAACCTTAACAAATGTATGGAGCCGTATATTTGGGCCATTGGCGTGTCAGGGTATTCTTGTAAAATTTCGCTGTATTGGGGTCTCTCGAACTTGTAAAGGAGTTGGGAGCCAAGGGTTGCATTGAAGTATTCTTTGATTCCTTCTGTGATGTCGAGTAGGACAGACTCTTTAGCCTGGTTGTGAGATTTACTAGATTTCTTAAATGCTAGGTAATTGTCCACGATCTGTGAGACGGTAAGTTTCGCCGGTAGGATGGCCAACTTCTGCTGGCGTGTGATCACGTCCCAGTCGTCAACCAGCCACACTTTCAGTTCCTCAGGGATTTTGATCTTCACCTCAACCTTTGCTAGGTACTGCTCCTCCGATTCAATGGACAAATCTAGGCGGCCGCGCTTCTTCCTGTAATTTGGACAATTTAATATTTAATCTACTGATTTTTTAAGTGTGAATAGAATATGGAATCATAATATAAACTTTCATAAAAGTATGTTAGTAGAAAATGCACTAAGCAAAATGCAAAAAAGCAGCAAAATGCAAGAAGAAAAACATTTAAAAAGTATAGACACATGCAAATATTAGTTAACGTGTTATTAGTAATTAATATCATGAAAATCATGCATACTTCTCATAATTTTGTTAGACTCAAAATATTATAAAGTGAACATGGAAGGATGGTCACCTCATACCCTGACAGTATTAGGATAGCTTCGCACTTTTTTGCAGCCCTAATGTGCAAATGTCAACATACAACTAAGAAAATTAAACAAAACACAGCCGGGTTCCTTAATCTGCTGGCATGATGATGACATCCTTACTAATATTATAAATCGGAAAATGGGTTTGTTTGTTTGTTCCGCTTTCACGCAGTAACTACTGAACCGATTGCTTTGAATTTTTGCAGACGTTAAGTTCGAAGTCCGGATTAAATAATAGGGTACTTTTTATCCCGGAAAAATCTCGGATATTTCCGAGGGAAAACAAAAGTATTGGTATAGATGGCGCTGTGTGTATTGGTATATATCACATAGGCTAGTTTTTATACTTTTTGACGCGAGCGAAGCCGCGGGCAAAAGCTAGTATAAAATATAAAGAAGTTCAACACAGAACACCAAAATTTCAAAGCAAGCTAACAGTCAAAAACAAAAGAGCAAGCATGCAAGAATTTTTTTGGTTATTATCATTTTAGAGATTCTTCCATCATATTTTGCTAAATTAAAATATGCAGGTAAACATTGGCGAAGTTACGACCACTCTCCCAATGAGGCAGTTTTATTTAATTAAATTCTATATTGTCTGGAAAACATTTCATTTTGTTACTAAATGGCATTTAATTACCAAATAGAAATTTCTTTGTTTAATAGTAATATATCTATTTCGCAATATACAATTAAAGTCAATCAGGAACCGGAATTGGACATAATCGGAAAATTAATTTGCTCAATGCCCATTTACGAAAAGAAAAGATAAAAGCTAAATGGCCTACTAATTACAAAAATAAATTTATTTAATGTACAACTGTAAATTTTCCCAAATAAATAAAAAAGAGAAGCTCAAACACCAAGCAAATTCAATTTATCAACGACTAGCGCCATCTAGTAGATTAGCTTGTTACTTTTACAAGCTTTATTTTACTACAGGCCATGATTGTTATGACTTGAATTCAGTTGTATATGGCATAAATGAAGTATGTAATTCAATATAAATTGTGTTTGATTGTTTTGTTTTCTGTATCACACTCTACTGTATGCAAACCATGTAGTAATAATTAAAAAAAATAATATTTAAAATATTTTTATGAGATTGACCATCCAACACCACCAAATTGACCAAAACAATAATACAGAATGTAAACGAAATGCTCCCGAAATACAGCAACAGGTGATTGTAAAAACAAGTTTTATTTTTATAAAAATAAAGGAAATAAATGTTTCTTTTATGTAATAATAGATGTAAGCAATCACTCGAGTGTGATGTTGTATGAATAAAACGTAAACAAAAAAAAAATTGTAAAAGCTCTTTTTTATCACATTTTCAGAAGCTTTTCGTTTACGAGGCTGTATGCATAAGCCAAGATTGGTTATTAATTATGGCAACAAAATTAGCACTTTCATAATAAGCCTTATTCCAGTATAATAATAATAAAAACAAAACTTACTTAGGCTGATCAGAGCCCGAATCCGCTGGAGTATCTTTACTCTGAGTCTTGGTTGCCTTCGCTGGTGTCGGAGTTGGTTCAACTTCTTTTCCTGAAAGAACACAAAGATTTCAATAATATAATTTGTCCCAGATATCTGATGTCCTAACAAATTCTGCATCTGGTAATGGTATATTCATATCATTGTGATTTGTACAGTACACAATTTGTAAAAGAAAGATAATTTTCGAATCGTCTCACAAATTAGGCTGTCAGCCTTTTTTTTAAATAGTACATTAACTATTGAAATTACCTATATCAAACTTTCACTACAACTACACAAAATGTATTTTTGGTCCCTTGGCGAATGTAATGCAACTTTAAAAAAACAATTTTTACCTGCAGGAGTGGAAGCCCTAGATTCCTCCCGAGCTGGTGTAGCACTAGCTGCTGGCTCTGATTTGCGGCCTTTGGCAGGAGCTGAAAGTTAGAATGTCACAATGTCTAAATATAATTAATTCACTTCAAGCATAGTTAGTTGGTCGTATTGATTTTTAATGCTGAAATAAACTATTTTCTTATTTATAGCTACTTCCATGCAGTGTCACCCTCTTTTCTTCTATTGATGGTAAAATGGAAAATTATCAAATGACTACTCCAGCAGGCAGCAGGAGCAATTTTTCTTTCTTTCTTTTCTTTCTTTTCACCTACCATCAACTTTCCTTTATCATGTGTTGTATGTATGTTAGAGCTGTAAACTTTTATATCAATTTAAAATCATACTAATATTTTGGTTTGTAACAACTTTATACGACAAAGATATTGTTAGTGGTGTACGAACAATAGATATTAGAGCAACCATTTATGATAGCAGTGACTTACTTTTTTTAGTCTTAGTTGGCTGTGCCGAATGTGCTCTCTGGACTTCCTTTTGCCGCTGCACGTTAGCCTCATTGTACTTGAGCACACGACTCTCCGGGACCCACTCATCCCAACTAAAATTCGTAAGTTATTAGGTATTACATACATCGACTTCAAACAGGTTATATCGCGTAACATAATCAATACTTGACACAATGAATAGTAATTAAGATAAAACTTACTTTTTGTTCCATCCCGCGTAATGTATGAGGTACCTCACATGTTTATCTTTCGTTACAGAACTCTTAAGACATTTTGCCTCGTAAATTAGCGGTCCATGAAAACATAACACTTTCTCACCTGAAATTGTAAAATAAATCGTGTTTTATTAGAAAACTTAGTCTATTTAAACAAATTTCAAGAATATTTGTTTTCTAATTGTCACAATGGTTATATTACCATCAGCAAACTTTAATTTGGGAGCCATTGAATAAAATGTTTATTTACTTCAACAGCAAACAGCAAGCAGAATCAGAAATAAAATGACAATGACAGATAGTCAGAGTTGTCAGTTGAAGACACAACTTTGTTTTTGTTATTGCAACACCAAAACACGCTACCATTGCGTTTTGTTAATGTTGAAAAATGGTTTAAAAGAATTTAGATTTAATATTGAAGATTTTAAATAAATGTAAGTAAAAGGTAAATAAAATACAAAACACGATAATTTCGTCGGTTATGGCAAAAATACTTTTAGTATCGTATGAATCGTTGGCCGAGTGGTCGCAAGTGCGACTGCCGGGCAAGGGGTCTCGGGTTCGATTCCCGGGTCGGGCAAAGTATTACTGGGTTTTTTTAAAAAATCACAGTAGTAGCACGGAGTCTGGAAATGTGCCCGGTAATAGGATCACCCCCTATTACATGGGACTCATAACATAAATAGTGAAAAGTGGGTGTTACTTCTATGTGCACCTCTGCCTACCCCTTCGGGGATAAAAGGCGTGATGTTATGTATGCATGTGTATCGTATGAATTGAGCATAAATTAAATTAGTAGCTTTAAAATTCAATTAACCTTTGTTACTGATCTTAAACTGAAACAGTCTTTGATTTTTTTTTTTTTTTTTTTTTTTTCTTCTATGGCAATTGAGTCTCCACTATTTAGTAGTTGACTATTCTGCCAGCGTCATGTGTTACGGCAGGTGTGGGCATTACAGATTATATATATAAATAGAAAAGGGACAAAAAATGGCATTGACATTTAAATTTAAAGCACATTCACTATATTATATTAGGTACTCTCATTATATATTAGATTTTAATATTATTTTTAATAATGAATTTTGCCAAAAGGTTAATGAGTTTAGGATAAAAATTGGTTAATAGTGAGCGAAAATTAATTGGGAGGGGAATTTTAATATTAGGGAGTTCTCTATAGAGGTCTAGATATTGGGAGTTTATGGAGCAAGAAAAAAATATATGTTCGAGGGTACCCTCATCAAGACCACATTCGCATACAGAGTTGTCACGAATGTGAATCTTGTACAAAAAAATGGACACAGTGGCGAGTTAAGTCTACGAATCTGTGAATTTAAAAAAAACGTGACTGCTTGTTTTGGGATTTTACGAAATTTAAAAAACCAAGGTTTCCTCTGGATGCTAGGTTGGACGGAAGCGTAGTAAGCTCCTTTACGCTGTGAGGTACTTTTCCATATTGAAGACCACGTGTCATAGAGCTTTCGCTTTGTGTCGGCTCGGATATCATAGCCGGGTATAACAAAATGATGGCGATCCACATCACCTGACGTAGCAAACTTAGCCAACGCATCAGCACATTCATTTCCGCGTATGCCAGAGTGGCCAGGGATCCAAACTATTTCGATATTAAGCCCTTCATTATGACAACACCAAAGGAGGTTTAATATCTACAACTAGCTGGCTATGGATTTTGGTGTGTAACTGATTTTGACCTAAAGATTGAATACTACTACGGGAATCTGAAAAAATTACAGAATTTTTAATATTATGACTTCTAATAAATTTCACAGCTTCCAAGATTGCAACGCATTCTCCCGTGAAAACTGAAGCCTCTGGCGGACACTTAAAAAGCATAGTTATTCTGGAGTTCTGAAAATATGTTGCCACCCCTGTACAACCCTCTTGAGTCAACTTTGACGCATCAGTGTAGAACACATTCCAGCCCTTCCAATACACTTCCAGTGCCCGCTCAAAGTTTCCAACAATGTTTGCCGAAGATTTTGAAAGACCTAACCCCAGAACAAGTTTCGGTTTAAAATGGATGGCTTCGTATGCAGAAGAGAATACAGGGAGAATTGGGAATTGAACAGTCTTTGATTTTCTGTAAATCCATGATATCGTATTGGTCGAGAATAGTGGTCGAGACAGCCGCTTCTGTCCTTTCGTGCTGACGTATGGCACTCACTCACACTACATGTGGATTTGAATTGTGGCGGGAAACTAAAAACTGTATTATGTGTTCTTGAGGTCATTGTCCGATTCAGAAAAAAATTGATGTAGGTATTTGTGTTTGTGTTGAAACCAAATAAAATGGCACACACTACCTCGTAATTTTAACTTGAGTTGTAACAAACACTAGAATTCACCAGATTCATAAATGTAGTTATACCGGCAGCGCAGCGGCGACTGTTAGCGAAAGTAGCCTAGGTGTGCGGGCCATGTGCTATTTCAGAGTTCCAGCCTATAATTTATCTCTATTTAAATCTATTCAGTACTTTTTACAGCTGGAAACTTATAAACTTTCAACATTCATACATCTTCATTAAACGTATTTTTATTATTTATGATTTCAATTTCAATTAATATTGTGACGACGAAAATTCACTAAAAAACTAAAATGAGGGAGAGCCACCACAGCCTCACAGCAAACCGACGTGAAACAACGCTTGCGTTGTGTTTCGTCGTGTATGTGAGGTTACCGGAGGCCCAATTACCCCCCTCCCTAGTCTCCCGAATCCCTGAATCCTCCACAATCCTCAAATTCCCAATTCCCAAAAGGCCGGTAACGCACTTTTAACGCCTTGGTGTTCCAAGTGTCCATGGGCGGCACCGATTGCTTACCATCAGGTGATCCGCCTGCTAGTTTACCAGCTTATGCTATAAAAAAAAAATCACGACGTCTTTGCTTTGATACCAAACAACTAATTCATACACTCAATTGTCAACGTCCATACCATGTTGAAAACACCGGTTCTCGTCCGATCACCGAAGTTAAGCAACATCGGGCGTGGTCAGTACTTGGATGGGTGACCGCCTGGGAACACCACGTGACGTTGACCTATTGTTTCATTTTTCAAAAATAAATGGTTTTCTATTGAAACACATTTTTTAAAAAACAAACAATATTAGGTACAAATATTAGGTTTTGTCATTTTCGTCTTTTCCTCAGTAAAGCTTTTGTTATTGCACCAGAGATTTCTTCATCATCAAAAATGTAAAGGTTTCAGTACACGAGTTAATAAATTATTTTTATACTGTGCTTGCTGAACCAATTACCAGGTGGAGCACTCGTCTGAGGCTCGTGCAATATAGCCAATCATGCACACTATCTTATTAAAATCATCAATGATATTTTATTAGAATATCATTGATGATCATCAATTTTAAATATGTAACATCACTGTTATTAAAACTATAAACTCACGCTCTAAAAGCATATTCTGAGTCCTCGACTCTTATCACTAATCATCAATCCACGCCCCCATTTTTACGTCCGATAACGAGTTGGTATTGTCGTAAACATCACATCAAACTAGCTGTTTCTTACATCATTTTGGACTTAAACTACGAAATAAGCAACCTTCGTCGGAGGCACGGCCATCGGCGTCAGTCGGTCGCCGTCAGCTGACACAATAACACGTATATTTAGTGCTAGTATTTTGTATACCACGTCGCAATGTCTCAACAAGGCCCGGCGTTCGACGTCAATGCGATGACGCTGACTCGGTGGGTGCTCCACCAGCAGCGAACTGCTCCGACGGCCACCGGCGACCTGACGCAGCTCCTCAACTCCATCCAAACTGCTGTCAAGGCCATCCAATCGGCCGTGAGGAAAGCCGGCATCGCTAAACTGTTCGTATTTTTATAACTGTTACTTGTTATTATTATTAGATATTTCCTGCATCTAGTTATTCGATCTAATTGCTAATTTGATTCTAAACTCAGCGTAAAGATACATAAATTGTGATAAACATGTTCTTTTTGTATAACTTTCCCGGTCGGTATAGCCGGTGGTGTATATTATTTATCTATTGCAGTGAGCGCTAGGTGTTTACTTTCGTTTTACAGATATCTCCATGATAATATTGCATTTAAGTTCTACCTACATTAACTAATATTTTAGTGTGTTATGTTAAACTAACATTTCACACTCTAAAATTAAAGCACACAGATGACCATGACATCTCATCAGTTCAATTTCAGGGTCACGATACACGTACCTATCAATTTTTAATAATGAGTCGTCCCATTTTATGGAATGTGATAACTCAGAAGCATAGCTTAGACTAATAAGATTTCAGAACAAGTTTCATCTTGGAAGTTATGCTCAGAAATCTAAATATTCCCGGACAAACACACATTCTTAACACAAGTACTATTGTGAACATTAAACCAAAATGAAGTCTTGAATAAGAATTTTATCAGCTTTCTGTAACAGTTAATGTCAACAATACTATGCAAATGATAAGAATTCGACCTTAGCACTTCAATGAACTGTGTTCAATGTGCTATTACAGCACATGACAGTAAATAAATGCTAACAATGACAGTAAATAAATGATGTCCCTAAAAATAAACTCTCGAACATTCTATTGGGACATTAAAAAGTATTGCAGAACGATAGTAGGTAGGTACTCGAAGCTCGAAGATTGCTCAATAAACGTCTACGTTGCTTTTACCTCTTGCCACACCTCCAAAGTCGGACCAATACGTAATAGACACACCCACAACCGGTTCAACTTGTTTTAACCTTTTCGCCGCCCAGCTATACTAAACACGATGTGTCGCCGTACGCCAACGTATAAATGTATAATAAATGTATAGTACGAAAGTAGGGATGGCGGTAACATCATTTTTATTTATTTATTTATTAATTTATGTACACACATTCAACACAGAGGACAATACATAATAAAAAACAGAGTACATAGGCCCCACATATTCCAACTGGAATTTCTTCCTGTGGGCCTGTGGCAGGAAAAGAAATAACAATACAGAGACACATAGTGTGTTACACAAACAAGATAAAAATCAATTAACAAAAAAAAGTAATAAGACCGAAGAAACCAATAGAATTAACAATAATAAACAATAAAACAAATTAATATAATACAATTATAATACATATATAAATAAATAGAGAAAAACAAATCTATATTTCAGGAGGAAAGATAATGTTCTCTCACTTGTCTCTTAAAGATAGAGATAGACTTGGCGTCCCGAATGTTCG